CAGGTTTCTTAGGGTTTAGGGTTTAGATTGCACTGCTTCACGGCGACGGCAGTTCCGCGCGAGAGAAGCCTGCTGCAAAAAGTTTTAGGTTTAGGGTTTAGGGTTTAGGGAAAATCAATGATACCCTAATGATACAGGTAACTAGAATAGTCAAGGTTCTCGATAGGGGTTACTTTGTAAGGGCGGCTTAACCTAGTTTACGTTTGTGTTTGTGATGATGTGGGGGGTGGTACAAGCATCTTGTGGGGTCATAGGCGGAATGTCGAGTGGCGTTGGGTTTTTGGGTGTTCCTGGTCTGGTGCTCTAAGGGTTTCGGGGTCGTGTTCTTGATTTGGTGGTTTTCTGCGTTTAGCGCCTGGTTTGAAATTCGGACCACAACAGCCTACATCAGCCTGATGAGAGGTTAAGCTCCGTAGTACTGCAAACACAAGAGCTCTGAAGAAAACCTTTGCCAGTTCTGAACCAGACCTTCACAACCCAATGAAGCTCTTGTAAAAATACCCTGCTTGCATTCTTCAGGCCCCGATACTGTAGAACCTTATTGCACCCGGAGAATCTACTCTATACTGTCGATACTTATAATAAGCTCCATGTTTAGCAGCAATTAAGCCCCAAACCCCTAGACCCTAAAATCCCAAACCCCGACACCCTGAAACCCTAAACCTTATAGACCCTAAACCCCCTAAACTAAGTTAAACCTCTAAAAACCCTAAACCTCCTAAACTAAGTTAAGCTCCAAAAAAACCCTAAAGCCCCTGTTTCAAAGCCGGCACAATCCCGAGAAGTCGGAGGTCGAGGCGGCGCGAGAGCTTGACTCCCAACACCTCGCGAACATCGCCGGGAAACCCTGGGAAAGCACTGAAGAGAGGGTTCCCTAAACCCTAAACCCTAAACCTGCTCCAGGGCTTTCCTGAAAAAGCACCCAAGGGAGGGTTAAGGGCTCTAGGGCTTTCCTGGGGTCTTAGGGGGTTTAGGGTTTTGTTTTAGGGGTTTCGTGTTTACATTAATTAGGGCTTTCGGGGGGTTTTAGGGAGCTTAGGGAGGTTTAGGGGTGAAGGGGATTTAGGGTTCTTGGGCTCAGCAAGGGTTCCAGTGTTATAAGGTCTGGGGGTTGTATAGAGCTTTGGGGTTTATTTGCGAAGCCTCATAAGACTTTCATGCGGCTACTATGAAGGGCTTTATGGGTTACCACAAAGCCTTTCTAGGGATATCAGTTATAATAAGCTTATGTATATTGCTCATGTGGGGATTTGAAGTTTAGCCAGGGCTTCAGGCTTTAGGGATTCTTTTTTCGGTGCCGGCTCGGGCTGGATGTGGAGTGCCGAGGGTAAATCGTCTGACAGGACCTCGAACATGGATTGCTTTCAGTCGGTAGAAGTGGGCATGTGGGAGACAGCTTTGTTAGGACTTCTTTCTTGTGTGTTCTTGGGTCTGAAAGCACAAGGATTGGGGCTACGGGCTACTAGTACGGCATACTTGCATCAGTTAGTTAAATCTTACCTTTCGAAGATAGGAAAGGGAAGTGATGTGCTCATTTGTCCAGTGTTTTTTTGCTTAATGCTTGAGGGTTCTTGAAAATGTGGCTTGCAACCGAAACATAAGCAACCGCAGCTTACAGGGCTCGAGTGGCCATAAACAGGTTGCGTCGGTAGGCCTTATGCATCTCAGATTCGGCGGTTTTGGGTAATTAGTAATTGCTGTGCATCCGAGGATGTGTTTGCATCGATGGTGATCTGCATGATGGTATGTAAAAACTGCATTCATGTATCGGCATATGTATACACACACGCATATACATACATACATACA